ATCTTCCACGGACCATGGACCAGTGGGCGGGACCGGAAGTTTTTGTGACGAAATGCATGGTAGGTACGGATCCACGTGTCGAACGCACGAACGTGAACAGGATTCACTTCAAACCTTCCCATGAACGTGGATCCGTACCTACCATGCATTTCGTCGCAAAACCACTTCCGGTCCCGCCCACTGGTCCATGGTCCGTGGAAGATTCCTTTAAGAATACAACATCTGTCGTCGCCCAAACACCTTTAAGGCAGCTCATATTGTGTGCACACACACTTTTGGCCGCTGATGGAGATCCCCGTAGCGGGGGCGGTCCTAGTCGAAGATTAAGGCGGTCGCAATGTGCCGGGACAATGTGTGTTTCGCTCGCGTAGATCACATACTAGCAGGGCCATACACTCCGTCTCGGCAGCGAACACACCGCACCGACGGAACACCCTCTCGCTCGCGTCCTGACCTCTACCCCGTTAAGGCAAGATGACAACGGCTTAGTATTGAGAAAAGCAACCCCAGTGAATAGTCGGCATCCAATGCGGAAATCAAAATCGCGTACAAAAAAAGGGTACCCCGATCTCCGCGGGTTCTGGTTTTTCCTCACCCCCATCTCCAACAACACATTTTCCTCTTATCAAGAGAGGGCTGCCCCTTTTTCCTTAATTAGCAATAAAATCCACCAAAGACCTACCTGTGGTGAGTCAAGATACCGCTCCCTCACAACACGCTTTGAACACAGGAAAATGTTGAAGTAGTTTTCGAAAGTTGTGACATGGGAGTTCTCTATCACATACCGTACACATAAAACCTGTCGTCAGCCGACAAACACTACCATTTCCGCTCAATATGCAATTGTAATTAAGTAGTACCAATTGAAAGCCATGAGTACCATGGAAACATGGTCAACATAATTCCTGACATTACCATTTCACATATATTTTTCAATTAAAAACTTGTTTTGAACAAAACGCTACAGCTTTTATGCACGGACCCCAGAGCTGGTCAGGGCCACTCGTCTCAAAGTGTAACGAATTATTATTGGAGCGGCAATCGTGTTTTTACTGTGACAACTTCTCCATTGGACGAAGTTCCTGCCAGGGTCAACCGTCCGTTCGAACTGTTCGAACGAAGGGGTCGCATTTTGGTCGGAAGGGGGTCGCAATTTCGAGGACTGCCAGCCACAGGCGCGTGCGTGGCGTATCCGAGGGCAAGAATTGTTTGTGCAGACCGCATTAGATTCGATTAATTATGCACAGAGAGACAGTTTTAGGCAAATTACGGTGTTTTCCTTGAGGAATAAGAACAGTTGAATGCATCCCTATGAAAGACTTCTCGGGGCTGAAATTAAAGTTCTTCGGGACCTGATTTTCTGAGGACGATTCTTCCAGACAACGGTAAAACACATAAGAAAGCAGAAATCTCGTAGTCTTCAAAAATGTCTTCGCCCCTCCCCAACAAGTTCTTTGAAGGAAGTTATTATTGCTGAAAGCTCAAAAACTCGCATGTGCTGCTCAAAAACCTATGGGAACAAAATGTTCGAACGTGTGATTTTCTCGGAAAATGGATTTTGAAAAACGGTTTGGGGCTTGTTAGAAAGAGCAAATCCTGTGCTTTCACCCCATGAAAAAAGTGCATCACAGAAATGAAAATGAAGTGAGTTATGGTCGCTGAAAGCCCAAAAACTCGCTTTTGCACGAAAAATGTTCGAACGGGACAATTTTTTGAAAAAGGGGACAATCACTAAACTTTTTATACTATTTTGTTAGAGAAATATTTGAAGTTTCTGAAACTTTTTACAGATTTCCAAAATGTCGCATACGAAAGATTTTATGGGCCTTCAAAGTTGAAGGTGCGCCTTCTTAGAATTTTGGGTTTTCCACTTCTAACAGAAGTACTTTCCGGAGAGTTAGGCAATCCTTGTAGTTTTCTGGAAGCGCACCTCAGGCACAATCAAAATCTACCTCAACAAGTCAAAAAATACGTCCAAGAAAGTTATTCCCCTCTAAAATTTTTCTTCGCCGCGTCCCGTTCTTCCAGCGCCCGGGTGATACCTGCCGCGCTCCAAGGCTGACGCCGCAACGCAGACGCTTTCTGGCGCAACGGATTCATGTCTAGCACTCTTATTAACAAAAACAGGGGGTCGCAACTGGACCCCCTCGAGAGCTAGGGGGTCGCAAAATCCCGAAAATGTTCGAACGTGACGGTTGACCCTGTTCCTGACCCAACAAACTTTAGGAAGTCGTGTTCAAAAAAGCGCACGTCAAGGGGCATTACAAGTAAAACATAGCTAAGTCTTAATTTATAAAGTTATTTCCCCTGGAATTATACGAAGTTATACGATTTATTGAGACGTCGAATTTTGACGTGCTGTGGTATTAATTTATCGAAAATAGCGAATGAGTGGAAGATGGCAGAGTTTTTGCAGAAGGACTTCATTGACCACAACTGAAAAATTTCCACATGCACGTCTAATACATTACGTTGTTCAGTAATGAATACCCACTAGTTTTTCCTCTCCAACTGATAGCTGACGCTGAGCCTTGCTAGTAAGAGTTAATGGGCTCTCGAGAAGAAAAGACCTTTCTGACGCATCGGCTTACATTCGCCTCGCCTTGTGCTGCAAGATGATGCGAGATGCAAAAGTTTCTTTGAATTCCTATTTAAAAACGCTTAACTCGCAACCTGTCCAGCTGCAAATGTATTTACGCTTAAAGGCAAGATCATAGCATTAATATATTGATGGGTTGATTCCACTCAAATGTGAAAGTAGGGATGGGAGGTGGACCGCCAGTGGAGAAAAAAGGGAAAGAAAATCCTGAAATACACAGGAAATACGAGCATTTTGCTCCATGCTGTGGAGAAGTTCAAAAGACAGGCAGGGAGATGAGAGATAATGTGAGCGCGGAGTGGTAGAGAAGTCCGAGAAGAGAGAGCATAGCAGATCAACGTGGCGACGCAGACAAGATATCGAACGGTGGGCGGACCATGTTAAGTTTGGTGGAGTCTGTTAGAAGTCCATGGCGCCTAGGGTCCTAGTGACGCGTTTCGATGTAGAAAGGTGGCGCTACCTTTGCACTTGCGTACCCAGCACTTCTAGCCATGGTAAGGCTTCTTAGGTGGGTCTGAGCCCGAACTTTGTCTTTAATACCATTCGAACTATGTCGAGTGGCTCTTGAGTCTTGTCGAATTCTGAATCTTCGTAGGTGGCACAATACCTACTTGCCAATTGCAAATGATACGATCGTGTTTGGAACCGAAGAACCCCTTATAGAAAAACCGACATAGCGCGATGAGCAGGGAAGCACTGAAGGAACACCCATTGACTTAATCTTTCCATATGCTGTTCAAAATCTCGGTTGATTTTCGTGAGCGAAAAGGTGACAATTGTCAACAACAAGGCAGGAATAATCAACAAAAGCATTGTGTGCACCACCAATTCAACAAAGCAGCAGAGAGAGCAGTATGTGAGCAGAAATGTCAGTAATGTCTTTTCTATACTGGCTGAGCAAACAAAATTGTTCTCGATACTGCCGGCACCATACCTTAAGAAGCAATCCGTGAACGTAAGCAAACCAGCCCTTTTGGCGCTTCGGCTGGGACCGTATGCTGAATGTTGGGGAGGGGATGGAGTCCCCGACGGTGGACGGACCACTTCAACTCGGTCCTTAGAACCGCCACAATTTGGTGCTTACCTCAGAACTAAGCCTTAAAGAGAGGACGGGTCCGTCCCCTCTCCAAGGCTTAGTCCTGGGGTGAGCAAACCAGCCCTTCTGGCGGAGCTGCTGGACCAGCTGCACCACTTGCGTCAGTACTCTCCTATCGTACCAACCGAGTGAAGTAAACCGTCGACCGTTGGGGACCCCATCCCCTCCCCAACATTCAGCATACGGTCCCAGCCGAAACGCCAAAAGGGCTGGTTTGCTTACCTCGTCTGTTTATGCACGCACTGATCGCAATATGTATGTTCCTGGTACAGTTATGTGTAACGTAGAAATACCTATTGCTCACTGTCTTGGATACTTTCCAATTGCCGGGCTATAAAAGGGCATTATTGAACAAACTGGACTGAATTTTAGGTGTAAGGAGGTTATACCCCTTATAGTATTGAGAAAAGGATCCCCAAGCCGTGAACTGTGGCAAGCTCAAAATGTGCGCGAAAGGGCCGCCTAAGGCTTGTTTATACGCAGGGATTGTCACGTCTTCACGATGTTTTTTAAAGAATTTGCATATTCCCCCCTCCCACCCAGCGCCAACATCACCAATCAGTGCCCTTAAATGCTACCCCTCCGATACGTTTCGCCTCTCCCGCCCCTTCTGTTGACCACCACCTACCCGGTCATGGGCTGTGACTGTTCTATAGCGCATTTGATTTCTGAGACCAGTTGATGAACTGGATTGTGAGACCGGTCGACTCAACCTACCTCGCCCCTTTCCCTCCGAAACGCAGTCGCCGTTTGACGGTGCGGGTAAAATTTGTACGAAGCAACAGCTCCATACAAATCTCTCCCTGAATTTCGTAAATTTCACCAAGTTGAAAAATAAAAACCCAACAGCACAAGCGCCGCCTGTTAGTGACCGTCCTTCACCTCGCGTTCGCCCAACCCCATGATAACCTTGCTCAACTCTGAAATGGGACCCCCCCCCTTCCCGAAATCACAAGTGCAACTCCCTTGTCCAAGTAGTGCGAACGGACACTTGACCTTTGCTTGTACGCTTCGCGTTGTGCGCTGCTCCTGCATCCGACATACCACTCCTTTCAAAAAACCAAGAGCGCCGTGCAGAACGCATACACCACAAGTGTACTACTGTTTTTTGAAGTATCTTGGTACGAGGGTTCATAGTGATAGCTGATTTTTGGTAAATGATAGTTGTAATTAGTGACAACTGATAGAATACAACTGCAACAGGCTAATCATTTCATTGACAGAAAACATTTACATTTTGTGGAAGGCCGTCGTCATTTGTGGTGTATGGTCTGCACCCGACGCTCTTCTTTTGAACGTTAAAATATGTACGTGGCGTTTACGCTCTCTCGCGAACAACTTACTATCGCGCTTTTCCCTTTACTCGCGGTGCAGCGTTTTTTATCCTTCCACGTGTCTTTGATACAAATAAATGGACCAAAGGTACGAGAAGTCCTGATTGGCCTGGGACAGAATTTGGTCGGAATACCCATGAGTCCGCTTGCCCCAACACTGCCTTCGCCCATTTCCTTAGTCAGCCTAAGGTAATATTTCTGCCGTCCTCACTTGACGGATCACTCGAAATTTGCGTTATCGACAAAAAAACTAATATTGGTCATTGTAGTTGGTGGACCAAGATGTGCTGCTGCGTTTCGTCAGATGGATGGATTATTTCATCTTTTGTTCGACAATACTTTCGTCATTCCTACAAGTTTACGTATTAAAGCAGGTATAAATCAAAACATCAAAAAGGAGACTGAAAATGAAAAGCTTGTTCCAGGCAAATCGAAATATTCGACGAGAAGCTAGTGATCATTGCTTACACGTGTTCCTATTCAGTATGACCATGGGTGATTTCATACAGACAGGTAACGTTCTGCTTTATACTCGATATCATATGCCCCATCATGTACTGACTTTGACTTGAGTCGCTGCCTTTCGATGTGATGATTTGAAGTATTCCTAAATTCATTGTTTATTTGTGATTACTTAGTAGCTGTTCTTGTTCATACAAGGCTGAAGTACAGGTGACCAGTAAACTAATTAGAGGCATTACTGTAGGCAAAGTAAATTCACCTGTACTTCAGCTCTGTATGAACAAGAGCAGCTACTGAGTAATCACATAATTTTGACCATTTTCAGCGCTTTGCTATCCAATTGAGGCAATTGCTCGAATACTGGACATCAGGGACGAGCTTCCGATGATTCTAAACGTGACAGTGCATTTCCTTACTTGGGTGTCGCTTTCCGGGTCAAGTCTGAGCCTCATTCTTCTCAATTTCGACAAACTGCTCTACTTCAAATATCCTTTAAGGTGCATTTGAATTTACTGGAATATTTGAAACATTATTCTACAGTTTCTTACACAATAGTTAGCTTCAAAAATTGGCGATCCATCATTCACTGCTGGATCACCGTGGTCGTGATCGCTTGTTTTACACGTTGTTCCACCTCGAACTTTCTCAACCAGCGGACATCTACCTTAAAGGAATGTTCCCCGGAAAATCATGATTCTATCTCACCCATAAATCACTGGCTTGAGACCCATCGTTCACGATAAGAACGAAAAGAACAAAAAATTGCATTTGTTTTGGTAAAAATTCGAAAAACCGGAAGGACTGCTACGCGTTCAAATTCCGCCGGACATCTGTCACAAATGCTGGCGACGGGAATGCTTCCACTTGGTTCTCGGAGTGCCGTCACTAGAAACTCTTTCTGGCCTTTTGACTTATTGCATTCACATCTCACACTTCTACTGCATCCTATTCTATCGATCGATTTGTCTCTACTCTCCAAATCGCACGCTTTAACCCGATTCTTTCATTGCGTCGCCTGATACGTAGCCGCCCAAGGCGGACTTCTTTCCATGCCCCGCCTTTGGCTCCGCGCGACCTTCGATGTCCATAGAATGTAGTTTTTGTACGTTTGTTTCTCTTCAAACCGAATCTTCATGCGTGAAACTTTGTGTGCTGTTTCTAGTGATCACAACTGACATATTCATGTTAGGAAAGAGTGCAAGAATTTTCCGCAAAGGATTCCTCAAACTAAGTTAATGGTGCCTCAAAGGAATTCTACGTGGCCTAAATGCTATCAAATTCATTTATTATACAAGCGAAATGGCGGATACGGCCACTGCTCGTCACTTCACGGTCTGTGTGAAGGCACCCTGCGTGAACGTCGCTGGTGAGCTTCCCTCCATCACTTCAGATGTCGAGCGCAACCAGTGTACTTTGGTAGCGCTCTCATGTCCCATATACGAAGTCGTGGCACGGCGCTCAACCGGGTGACGCTACCAAAGCACAGTGGTTGCGCTCGACATCTGAAGTGATGGAGAAAAGCTCACCAGCGCCCCCTGGGTGCCTTCACACAGACCGTGAAGTGACGAGCAGTGGCCGTATCCGCCATTTCGCTTGTATAATAAATGAATTTGATGGCATTTAGGTGACCTGTGCGCCTTCCAACCGATATCAGTGCCGCGCGCGAATGGTTGTATTGAGCGGTGATATTACTTCGTGCGCAAGGGCTAGTAGGTTTTCTGAAATTGTCAAGGAGTAAGCGTGTTCATGCATAAATCTTAAAATGTACAGGATTAACTGAAAGTAGAGTTGTATCGTATCTCGCTCTTCCATTGCATGTATAACCAGTGTTCCTCGATCCAAAGTTCGAGGATGGAACGATGTTGGCGCGGTGATGTTGGGCTTCATTGATTGCTCGCAACGCGCGAAGTATAGAAGTGTCTTTGTGGCGTCGTTGACCAACGCGCATACTCGTTGCGCACGCGCCGTCGAGATGACGTCACCCAGCGGCGCGCGTGGGCCGTCGTTAGGACTTTTTCAATGGTCCTCAACATCTGCCATTGCCTCTCATCGGGAGCCTTGTAGAAACCTGTTTCATGGTATACACGATGGACCAATTTTTTGAGTTGCGTCATACTATTTCCTTTTCTCTCCTAATTCGATCGTATTTCAACTGCGCAAGTTTTCCCGCATACATGTGCTTCTTAGAAAGAATAATAAATAAGAAGAGTAAGAATAATAAGAAAACGATCTATCTACGAGAGTGCTACACGAGACTAAAAAAATTAGAAAAAATAAGTTGATGCAATTTCAGTACGATTGCGTGATTTTTTTAGCTACACGTCTTACGTCACACGCCGCCGTGGGATCTCATCAGCGCTACTCGTGTGGACATGTTGTGTTATCTTTGTCGCCGGAGCTTGGTATTTTGAGTGCTTCAAGTGAGTCATTAGTAAGCCCACTCGAAATGTGTAGACTGAGAGCCCAGTCTTTGGGCAATACTCTGGTTGAAAGAATGATATGAATTCTTTCAATGCCAAGGCCACTGTGTGTGAGATCCTAACCCAGACACTTTTTCTACTCATTTTTGGGACTTTTTTGGGCCTCGGTATCGCTGAAAAAGTGAGGCTCCAGCTATCAAGGATCGTTCCTGGAAGCGCTAGCTGACAACGTATACATATGGGGGTCGCTAAATGTCTCCAAAGGCGTATGATGAATTTCTGCATCTGAAAGCTTTTTCCACCAATTTAACAGGGAAAGTCATGATTTTCGGCGCTGTCAAAGCCTTATCTCCTATCCTAGAGAGCATTACCCTTTGATATCTGCTATATCTACTGAAAGTGAACATAGGGTTTTTAGTGGCAACTTGCATTACTTACCAGCCCATGATTCCCAAGTTAGACCTTATACCGACTCGCTCAGGCCTTCCATCCATCTGAGGTCAGTATCTCTAGGAAGGCACCAGCATCATTGCAAGGGCAGAATAACATTTGGTTTCACTACGACTCTTTTATAGAAGTGGAATGCATGGCTTACTCAAAAAGGGACTGACCACCGAACGTTCTACTCTTTCTGTATAACTCCAATGTGGATAAAATATGTTTGAAGGTTATATGACAAACATTTTGTAAACAAAAATAATGATGGAAAAGCGAGACATTTGGGACGAGCTGGAGCTTTCAATATCCGAGGGTTCGCATAAACAGGAATTTCACTGTTCAAAGACACCTCCTTTACTGACGTGCTATGTCGGGTGTTTTCAGATGCGAAGAGAACTGCAGTACAATTTATCTGCTACCCGAACGTTGGGGAATGTATCTACTGTTCTCTGTACGTCCAACCTTAATCATTATTTCATTCTTTATTTTCTTTTTTTCCTTTTATTTGTAGAAATTTTTTCTCAAAAATTTCATTCTTTATTACTTTTGTTTGTTAAAAGGTTAGACTCATGTCGACACCTCTGAAAAACCGCGAGTTCGATCCCTGCCGAGGTTAACCATGCCCTGCAAAAATTGCAAAAATGGTTCTAGTACCAGCGTCAGGCCCAGGTTGACAGGCCGGCTGATGAAGCCCCCGTCACAACAAGTACATATGTCTAAAGCGAAGACAGCGGACCCTGGGACTGCGCGGGATTAACGCTAGGGGGAAGAAGAAAAAGATTTTTTCTTTTGTTTGTGTGGAATTACCATATTTTCT